TGGCTAAGGCACCAGTCGCATACACCAGAGTAGGAGGGTTCAAATCCAGCCTGGGCCCATCAAACATGACAACTATAACCAAATGAAAAAAAAAAAAAAGCTGGGTATTGTGGCAGACGCCTGTAGTCCCAGCTACTTGGAAGGCTTAGGCAAGAGGATTGCTTAAGCCAAGAGTTTGAGGTTGCTGTGGGCAGTGACGCCACGACACTCTACCCAGGGCAACAGCTTGAGACTCTGAACAAATAAATAAATAAATAAATAAATAATAAAAAATAATACAAACAAGGAAACAATACAGTATAACACCTGTTTACATGGCCTTTACATTGTATTAGATATTATAAGTAATCTAGAGGTGATTTAAATTGTATAGGAGAGAGGAGGTGGGTAGATTGGATGCAAATACTATGGTATCAGGGGCTTGAGCCTCACTGGATTTTGTTATCCATAGAATGGGGTGGGGGATCCTTGGACCAATCCTCTGAGGACACCAAGGGAAGATTGTATCCAGCCACCTTGTTTGAAATACATTCAAGCAATCTGAGTTGTACCAGTCAAAGGAATGACATTCATTCTAAAGACTTGGTCTTGGGCTCATAGCTAAAAGGAAATTAGTAACCAAATACAAAGAGATGGGGAAGGACGCGTAGAAGGGCTGGAAATTTTACTCCCAGAACTTATTTATGCAGGGAAAATGCAGGTTCTTTATTTTGTCAATTTAACTTAATATCCCTTAAGAGCTACCGCCCACTGGGTAGAAGGAAGGAATAATTAAATAAATGTCCACTCTGGTTTAGACCTTAGTCCAAATCCAATAACTTAAATAGTCCCTGTAGGTAGTGCTCGGGGTTTTTTTCCTTCAGGAAAGATGTTCAGCACCTAACATTTTCTCAGTCTTCTGTTCCCCTTGCTGGCACCTCCCCAGAATGGCGTGTAGTTGCATGGGGAAAGGTGGAGAAGGAAATACTTTTGACACTCATTCTGCCTACAGAAGGGACATAGGTCCCTTCCCCTTTAGTCACCCCTGGGGCCCTAAGAATGTCCTCCTTTACAGCAGAATGGCAAGGCTTATTTATGGCTTAGGTCCTATTCAGAAAGGCATCCTCTCTAATCTATGTAAAAACTCCCTGAGCTGGTCCACCCCACTTGGCTCCTAAACCTTAAAGGAATTTTAGCAAAGTCTCTCTCTCTCTGTTTTGTTTTCAAGTCTTTTGTTTGTTTGCTAAAGAAAACAAGTACCCAGACTTTTCCTACAGTTTCTTTCCTTTTTTTTTACTGTTTTTTTTTTTTTTATTAAATCATAAACACATAGATCATGTATACATAAATGAATTTATGGAGCATAATGTGCTGATTTCATATAGAATTAGGAATGCTTCCATTACACTGGTGAATATGTCCCTCATCTCATTTACTTAGTTATTGTATTAAGACATTTATACTCTATACTAATAGATCCGACAGTTCCTCAGACCTTCAGTCCCTAGGTGATCTAAGGGGGACGCTAGTGTATCACTTTTACATCAGTACTGTTAACCCTGCACACTAGTCTGGAGAGAAATGCCCTGGAAATTGATTCATCGACTCCTGAGTTTCTACCCTTCCTTTTTTGTGTTGGCTTATTCTGTGTTCCTTTATTCAACCACTCACTGATTTACTCATTTCCACTCAGCTATTTGCCATTCACTTAAGTACTTTACAAAACCTCTGCCCCACACTTACAATAGGCTGACCATTGTGCTAGGGCAGTGGTTCTCAACCTGTGGGTTGCGGCCCACAGAAACTGTATTAAAGGCCGTAGGAAGTTTGAGAACCACTGTGCTAGGTGAAGGGATTCAAAGACGACTGAAGCCTGGTATGGTGCACACCTGAGGTCCCAGCTACTGGGAAGGCTGAGGTAGGAGGATTGTTTGAGCTCAACTTGGACAACATAGTGAGATCCCCTTCTCTACTCCTCCCCCCCAAAAAAAGATAACTAAGAAAAACGCTTGGAGTCTAATCCAAGCTCAGGTATAAATCAGAGACCAGCTGTATGCACCTTCAACTCTAAAAGAGAAATAATTGCCTAATTTTATTTAGTGTAAACTGATTCACTCTAAAATGCACTCAGCTCACCATGTAAAGCTAATTTGCTGTGGTGGTTTGCTTTATTAAGTGTGAATAGCATTTCTTTGTTGTGTGAATTTCTTCTGACTTGATTTTTGAGAGTGAGTGGGATTTGGACCTAGCTTCCCAGGCTTCTGGGCAGAAGCAGTAGAAGAAGCCTGGCTGGCAGGGTCCGCTGGGGTCTAGCAGGCAGTTTAGGTATTGAATGGGCCCAGCAGAAGGAATTATGTCCTTTGTTATGCCCTCCAGGTGGTAAGGAAGGACATATTTGCCTTCTCCCAGCTTCTCATGATTTTAGAGCTTCAAGACAGCTAAACAAGGGGCCTGAGATCATAGAAAGAAGGCAGGCTTTGAGATCAGTAGACTTAGGTTTAAAGGTTTTGCTACTTCCAAGGGCTTAGTTAACGGCTCTGAGCCTCCCAGAGTGCTAAGATTACAGGCATGAGTCACTGTGCCCAGGCTCTGGCTTCCTCTTTGTGAAATGGGTTTATAACAATTACAACAGCAGCAGTAGCAGCATATGCTGGTTCAATTATAAGGATTGAATTCATGGTTTGGGAAGGAACCCTGGACTCAATGTAAAACTGAAACTATGATACAGATGTTGGTCTTTATTATTATTCAGCCCCGGTCTTCTAAGGAAACGGGGGGGGGGGGGGGTCAGGGAGCTCCACAGAGCTGGAGGGGACAGAGAGAAGTGGGGAGCAGTCTATCCTAGGCTCTTCCCTGCTCAGCGTGAGGAATAGAGATGAGGTCCCAATCCAATTCACTCAGAGCTCTGTGTGGAAGGACTGGGAGACATGTAAGACAAAGTCCCCAACACGGAGGCGCTTCAGAGGCTCCTGGGCTGCTTGGCATGAAGGAGCTCTGCTCCCAAGTCAGGGAGGGAGGGTGTGTGGAGGAGGCTGTGCCCTCGGGCAGAGAGCGAATCCTTATTTACTCTTGCTTGTGATTTGACAAAATTGCAATTTTAACAACTGGAAATGCCCTTAAACTCATGAGTGTTTCTCATGCTAATGAATGTGGCATCATATCCTGACAATCCACCCCAGGATCAGCAGGGCTGCGCAGCCAGGCACAGGCAGGTGGGGGAAGGGGAGGCTTGCCCTGTGGGCCTGGGGAAGTCAGAGTGTTAATGGGGTGAGAGGGGTGAGACAGAAGACGGAAGCTTAGCAACCTGCTCAGTGTGGCCTTGGGGTCACCAAGGGCTGGGAGCAGGCAAGGCAGTCCTGTGAGTCTGACCTCTCCGTCCAGGTTCAGGCCAAGACTGGAGTTGTAGGGACCAGGCTGTGGCAACACTGGAGAGAGAGGCCATCCAGGCTGCAGGGTTTGGGGTTAAGGGAGCAGGTGATGAGTTGGTTCCAGGTGAAGGGTTGGTGGAAGTGGGGTGCTTCGTGAGTGGGAGCAGAGAGCAAGGAGGGTCTCTGATGCACACTCTTGGGATCATGGAGAGCTGGGAGACTCTTCCTGCAGATTCCATCTCAGGAATTCCATAGACTGTAGGAAATCCTCACGGGTATAGTGTTAGCCGTCAACATGTTGATCCTTGACATACCCTGAATGCAGAATGGAGGAAGCATCTTGGAGTCCAGAATCCTCCAAGATGTCCAGGGCTGACTGATGCCACCTCCTAAGGGGTGACTCTGGATTGGTAGGTAGAGGCAGAGTCTGCGACTGGAGGGTTCAGCCTGAGACCCTATCCACAGAAGCAGTTCAGCTGCATCTGTTTGTGTAGGTGTGTCTGTGTCTTTGTGTGGACACATCACATCCCAAGGCCACCCAGACAGAACTGTGAATGAAATGTCCATTTCTCACCTGGCTGAGCTGCCAGAGAGCTTTTCTAGGAAGAGGGCAGCAAGAGACATAAACACACCCAACATGTATAAAGCCCCTACTGCGTGTAGTGGAGACAGAAACACAGACACACGCATAGAGAGACAGAGTAGACCTCACTGCTCTGAAGCCTTATAGATAGATGCATGAACTCATTTAGCCCCACACTGGCCCTCAGGGTAAGGTGCCGACACGAGCGTAGGCTTGGGTGTGTAGACACACAGCAGCAGAAACCTGAGCTAACACACCTGAGTTTGCAGTCTCATGTTTATACACAGAAACACAGCCACCATTCACAAATGCAAGCACCCATGCAGATGTTCTTAAATAAACACAGATGCAAGCCTGTGTCTTAGGGCAGGAATGGCGTCTGGGGAAAGGCATTTGGAAAAGGTGTGTAGACAACAACAAAGATAACGTGGTTGCCCTTGTCGGCTTTGCAGGCTTGAACCCATGTAGTTTTAGAGATAAGAACAAAATGGCTCAGAGAGGTGACGTGAGTTGCCTGAAGTCACACAGCCGCTAAGGTGCAGACTTGGGAGACTCACACAGCCAGACTCAGAAAGCTCTTGTCTTACATGCTTACAGGAAGGCTATGAAGCCTGATACGAAGGGGCTTCCTGAGTGGCCTGAGCTGTGCTTGCCTCATCCGATTCCAGTGGTCTCAGGCAGCCCAGGCATGGGTCTGGCCTGCAGTGTGACTCAGCCCTGTCTGGAGGCCCAAGTGTGCAGCGAGGCTGAGCTGAGGGCCTGCGGGTCTCTGTGGGGGAGCCCTTTGACGGGCTGCACTGAGCCTCTTCCTTTCTCCCCAGGGTGTGTACCCACCACGGGCACCAAGGATGCCCTATCAACAGACTGTGCACCCCCCGATGGGGTGTTACTCCCGCCAGGTGAGTAGATGACCTCCCCTCCTCTGTCTCAGCTCCATGAAGGTTTTTGGGTCAGAGGAAACATCTCCTCCCTGGCTACTGCCAACCCCATACTTTCCGGTCTACCATTGGCTCCAGAGTATAGCCACGCATACCAATCCACTCACAGAAGACACACACCGATGTCCCTGTGTGTTAGCAGCTGTCACTGAACAAATCCCTTCCTATGTGCCAGGGCCTTCTCTGTGGGCTCTGACTGCACCAGCTAAGTTAATCTTTGCAACCTCTCCATGAAGCGAGTTATACACAAGGAAACTAAGCACAAGGAGATTAAGTAACTTACAAGTGGCAACGAATAGCCTCAAGGACAATGAATGTTTATTTTTCTCTTTTGGACCTCGAAGTTGGCTGGGCTGGGCTGTGGATCAGGTTCAGGGGTGTTTCAGGTGTCTCTCCTTCTGGGTCTGTGCAGAACATACAGTAGACTGTTGTTCTTCCCATGGGGGGTGGCAGGGGCAGCAGAGGGCAGAGGGAAACACACAATGCCTCCGAAAGCATCAGCTCAGAACTGGTCCACGGTAAGTAACTTCCACCCGCCGTCCATTGGCCAAAACAAATAGCGTGGCTTTGCACCCCCTTAGTGGAACTGAAGAGTCCTATTCTTCCCATATGGGATTGCCAGTTAATGTACAAGAGACCCAGTTCAATTTGAATTTCAGACAAACAAGGAAAAGATGTTTAGCATAAGTATATCCCAAGTACTGCATGGGCTATACTTATACTAAAAATTATTTTTTTGAAATTTAAATTGAACTGGTATCTTGTATTTTTATTTGCTGAATCTGGCAACACTACTTCCATAGTTAGGCTGGGGTAAATATCTGTGGGATAATGGCAGAAAAGCAGAATTCGAATTGGACTTTGGGTAGCCTGGTACTCTAATCACTATGTTTATCGCCTCTTGTACACAAAAATACAGCATCCAAATAAAGCAGCAGAAGCAGAAATACAAACACACAAACACATACACACAGGCAGGTAGAAGCACAGATACAGTTATGCATGCCACCAAGGTGCGTGGATGACACCAGAAACACATTGACAGATATTGAGTCTTGGGGTAGAGATAAGGTGTCCAGAAAGGAGCTTAGAATAAGGGCATAGAGGGTACCACAGACCAACCTACCATATCACCAGACTGGCTTTGCACCCTGTCACAGGCAGACAGACAGACACCCCCACACTCCAGCTCATTGACTGCTCTGCCCTACCCTTTCTCTGAACACCACTGCACCTCTGACCTAAAAGACCTTAGAACACTCGGAGGGAAAGGCCCCGGTGTGGACTACTCTGTAACCCGGGCCAGGACTGCTTCCTCAGCAGTAGAGGCTCTTTGCATCCTGAGCTGAAGTTGGGATGAGTGACAGTCCGGGTTGCTAGGCCTTAGCCACATCACCTCCACCCCTGAACAGTGACAGCATCCACCTGGCTACAAAGAGAATCTTTTTAGACGATTACACGCATGTGCGTGTGTATATATTTGACAAAGGGAATACGAAAACATGGTCAAAAATGTAGAAGCTTAGCGGCGATCACTGTTGACTGGTTTCTTACATAGCCTTCCGTGATATCTATTTATATAAACATTTTTATACAAATGAGGCATTCTGGGCACACTCTCCTATCGCTTTTGTTAGTGAGGATTATATTTGGAGATAGTTCCCGAGCAGGGTACAAAGCTGCATTTTATGGTTTTTATCAGTTACATTGAATCGGGGCCATGTTTTTGAATAAGATTGTATGAGTTCTAGGACCCACCTCTTCTATTTCGGTCCCCTCCCAGGTGCTTCCTCCATCGTGAAGACCAGGGCTATTTTCTGCCACACTGAGCCCCAGGGGTCTGTCCCAGAAGGTGCCCTCCCAGGCCCTCTCTGTGAGCTCTTGGAAATTCTGACCGTTAGCTCCTCATCCTGGGGTACGGTGCCCGGGTCCCCCATCACCAGGCCCTGCATTTCCCCTGTGGGGACCATGGAAGGACCAGGAGGAAGGGGTCAGCCTTCCAGAGGGGCATGGCAAAGAGATGGTGGCTGGGATACAGGCTCTGGCTCATCCTACTGGGGTTCTGAGCACAACCCAGACACCAAAAGCCCTAAGAGAGTCACCTAACTTCTCTGAACTTCAGCTTCCTCATCTCCAAAAATGGGAATAATAATGGTTCTACCTTACAGGGCATTTTGGAGTTGTTATTATATTTTTTGAGACAGAGTCTCACTCAATTACCTTGGATAGAGCTCTGTGGCATCATCAAACTCCTGGGCTTAAGAGATCCTCTTGCCTCAGCCTTCTAAGTAACTGGGAGGACAGGCTCCCATCACAACACCCAGCTAGTTTTTCTTTAATTTTTTTTTTGAGACAGAGTCTCATTATGTCACCCTCAATAGAGTGCCATGGCGTCACAGCTCACTGCAACCTCCAACTCTTGGACTTAAGTGATTCTCTTGCCCCAGACTCCCAAGTAGCTGGGAGCTACAGGTGTCCATCACAATGCCCCACTATTTTTTTGTTGCAGTTGACATTATTGTTTAGCTGACCCAGGCTGGGTTCGACCCCACCAGCCTTGGTGTATGTGGCCAGCACCCTAACCATTGAGCTACAGACACCACTTAATTTTTCTATTTTTAGTAGAGACAGGGTCTGGCTCTTGCTCAGGCTGGTCTTGAACTCCTGAGCTCGGGCAGTCCACCTGCCTCTGCCTCCCAGAGTGCCTTTTGGAGTTTTGATGAGACAATCCACATGAAGGGCGTGGCACACCCCAGGCACTCAGTAAATGCTGGCCTTCGTGGGGCTGGTTTAGATAAAGGCTTGCAGGTGAGAGGGGGCTGCAGGGAACCAACTCCCTGATCACTCGGACTCCAGACTCCTGCTGGCAAGGGGGAAGTCCAGTAGCTTCCCCAGTTGTGACGGAAACTCCCCTCAGCACACAGAAGATAGATGTCAGCTCCGCATGAGAAAAGCTTTTCTGATTGCGGGAGCTGTCCGTAGTGGGATACGTATTCAAGTTGAGCGGGCGCCCCACTGTTTTCAGGGATTAGCACAGATACTCAATGGCCTCTTCTCTCTTCCCTCCTTCCTGCCCTCTGCCCGCCTTCCCTTTCCACTTCCTTTCTCTCCTGCATTTGTTCATTTAATATGTTTCTACGGAGCAGTTAATGTGTGTGACAGGCGCTGCCTTTGGTCTGGGGGGAGATGAGTAAATAAGACAGATGAGGGCCCAGCCTTATCGGGGCAAGACAGCAGAGCCCCGGCTCCTGGTAGGAGTTTGTTCCAGCCGGTCTCAGAAACGCCACTGAATCCCTGAATTATCCCAGGTTTGAGCTTTTGCCCTTTTATTTCACCCTCCCTCCTAGACACACTGTCCACATCATACACCACATGTGGCTATTTTAAAATTAATGACAGGTAAGTAAAATTCAAAATTCAGTTCCTCCTTCCCATGATCCACATTTCAAGGGCTCAGCGGCCATGTGTCCCTGATGGCTGCCACCCTGAGGTGTACGGATGTAGGAAGTTGCAGGGCTGGACAGGGCTGTCTTGGACTTGAGAACCTGGGATTAAAAATCAGTCAGAGCCATGGCGATCACAATAGCTTTTTTTGGATAATAAAAGCCTTAAAAAAATGAACGAAGAGCTTAGGAGATGGTTATTGACAGAGGGAAAGCTGGAGAGACAGGGAAGAGAATGAAAACAGTATTTATTTGCTATTTATTATGTGCCATCTCTTTAACAACTGACTCCATCTCCACACAATGTACATAGTGTTTGCCCATTTTACAGATGAGGAAACTGAGGATCAGATACATTAAGCAACTCAGCTGGCTCACTACAGAAGTCAAGCCCGGTGCTTTTCCTGTTCCAACATGTTGCCTTTCTGTATACCACAGTGACTGAGAGGGACACTCAGGGGTGGTGGCTGGACTTAAGTTTAGGGCTAAGGAATGGTGACCTTGCTCCTGTCTCCTCTCCAACCTACAGGTGACACCATACAACCCACAGCAGATGGGACAGCAGATGGGACAGCAGATGGGGCAGCAGATGGGACAGCAGATCTTTCGCTCCTCCTATACTCCCCTACTGAGCTACATCCCCTTTGTCCAGCCCAACTATCCGTACCCTCAGAGGACACCGCCAAAGATGTCTGCCAATCCCCGAGACCCTTCCCCCATGGCAGGGGATGGGCCACAGTACCTCTTTCCCCAAGCCTATGGGTGAGTCTTTGGCCCACACCAGAAAGCTGCTAGAGAGAAGGAGAGTGGGGTGGGCTTCCCTGTGCTGTCTTGGGACATGCAGACATGTGTCCCATGGCAGTGGGAAAGGGCAGGCCCCGTACCAGCGGTCAGTAGCTATTTGGGTCCTGTAGGGACCTAATGGGGGGGTGAGCAGGGTCTAGGGCCTGATGAGCCCCCGTTGATCAGTCAATTTGGGGGCTGCAGCCCTCCAGTCTGGTTGCAGAAATGCAACTGCATAGCAAGTAGCAGGTGGACATCCCACTCTGTAGCTGGGGCAGGTGGTGGAGGATGATGCTCTTGCCTTTACCTGTGTGTTTGGTGAACAACAGGAGGAAGCCAGGTCATCTTCTTAGCACTCTCGTCACCTACTTCCAGCACCCCTAGCTCCTTGCCAGCCTAATTTCCTCAATGTCCCATTGACTTTGTGACAGGCCCTTCTAAAGGACCTCAGGGAGGGCTGCCCATGCCTTTCCACCAAGCACCCCAACCTATTGGGGCCCCTATTTCCTGGATGGTCTGAGGACTTGGCAGCAAACAGCCAACTCTAACTGAATATACCAGCTGAAAATTCCACTCGAATTTTGCATGCAGTTGGGTGATAAATTTGGGTTTGTTTTAACATAATAAATAGCCACTCATTTGCACCCACCAAACTTTCAGCCAATGTTGGTGCTTCGAGTGGCAGGTGGCAGGCCCCATGTCATTCTTGTGAATCCCAGTCTCAGAGAGGCACATCCTCGGGAATGGCTGCCCCAGTTTGAAAAACTCAGTTTATAGGACCAGGGCCAAACGCCCCAATCTGACATTGATTCCCATCCACCCACCTCCCTGTCACAGCACCTTCACTGTAGTGCCAGCCACGGGTCCCCAAACTCTCATTCTTTCAATCAGCTTTGTCCCCAAATATCCTGTGAAAGGGAACAAACGCTAGAAAGTGCTTTCCATAGTCCGTTCATTTGGGAAAAGCTGTGAGAAAGAAAGATAAACAGATTTCTTAACTGTTGGAATTCTCAGATCGGTTAATTTCCTAGGGTGCGTGGAGAACGTTCAGGAAGGTGGTCGAAAGTGTTATTTGAATGTGAAATCCATGCCCTTTTTTATCTCTTTCTTTTTTCCTCTCTTCCCTTCCTCCCTCCCTCTTTCCTGTAGAGCATGTCCATGTCCTGATATGTTCCACCCAATGCAAATGGGGCAGTGCTGTGTTCATTCACGTGGTGCATTTGAACTTAGCTTGTAGGGCAGGGAGACCTGTAGATGAAAGGACACCCTTCCTCCCTTCAGATAGCTGAGAGCAGACGAGAGGTGGCCAGCACTGTCGGAGTGGAGGACAGAGGCAGAATCCCCGCAGGAAAGCCCCCAGATGGGAAATGTGCCCCAAGCTGGAGGCCTGGGGAGTGAAGGCGTCTGGCTGAAGTGTTAGATTTGTCCCTGCTAAAGGTGGAAAATAGGATTGGAAAACGGAGGTGGGGATTGAATTATGAAAGGCTGTTGGCGATCCAATGCAGATTTGTGCATATCAGAGTGAATGGCTGGGCTGGAGGGGAGGGAAGCGGGAGGCAAGAGAGGGTGTAGCCTGGAGGTGACACCCCTGGAGGTGAGAGGAGGGATCCAGGCCAGCACAATTCCTGCATTCCCTGATGTGACTGGGGCTCAAGGTCCCAAGGTCTCTTTGGTCTACAGGAGAGGGAGGGAAGGTGGAGAAGGAGGAGACAGCCTGGGTGAGTTGGAGGCAGCAGAGGCAGAGAGAAGGCTGCTGAGGTGTGGTAGTCACAGAGTGGGTCGGGAAGTCCCGACAGCAAGGTCAGAAGAGTGATCTGTTCACTCAAGGGATACTGATCAGGTCCCTTTGTGTGCCTGGCATTGTCATAGGCACTGGGGATACTGGGGTAAGGAAGACAAAGTCTTTCCTTCTCTCAAGGATCTTTCATTCTTGGGGGAGAAATAGCCAGTAAGGAGACTGATAAGCAAGTAGACGTGGGCAGGTGCTTGGCATAAGAATCAAGGGACATCTCTAGCCAACATCCAAATGAAATGAGAGACTGAGCCATGCATGTGTGGGGGGCAAACATCTGGGCAGAGAGAATGGGAACTGCAGTGGCTCTGAGGCAGGTGCATGTGTCTGGAGCACAAAGGGTGAGGGAGGGAGTGGGCAGAATTACCATTAAGGAGGGAGCCAGGCTGGACTGGCCCAGCCCGGTAGGCATGGTAAGGAGCTTGCTTTCAAGAGCAGCGGGAAGCCATTAAGGCTTTTAAACTGGTGAGGACGGGTTCTAGCTTTATCAAACAGACCATGTTGGCCATGTTGTCTGAAGAATGACCAGGAGGTAAGAGCTGATGTGGGGAGAAAGGTGGGAGACATAATTGACCAAGCAAGGCATGCTGGTGGCACAGATGAGGGCAGTAACCATGGTGGGGGGCATGTGGGTGAAAGATCTGGTGATTAGTGTCTTTGGGAGGATAGGTGGGACTTGATGATGGCTGGATGTAGAATAAGGAAAAGGAAGAGTCAGGTATGATTCCTTGGACTTTGACGCATGCGACTGGAGGAGTGGCAGTCCCGAAATACTAAGGTCACCATGGCTTTGCTTATCAAGAGGACAGTTTTAGACGGGTGCCATTGGCAATGCTTGCTAAGCGGATGAGGGAGCTGCTGACAGGCAGGTGGATACAGGAGTCTGGAGCCCAGGGGAAAGGTTGGGGCTGGTAACAAATGTAGGAGCCATTAGCATATTATAAAGGCATGGGCAGAATGGGATCAGATGCCCACAGAGGGCGTGTACGGAGGACAGGAGAGGCCCAAGAGCTGCCTCTTGCGGCACCTGCACATAGAAAGGCTGGGAAGATGTGGAGGAGGCAGCCAGGATCTAAGAAGGAGCATCTCTCGGGGGGGGGGGTGGAGCAGGAAGCCAGGTGAAGCAAGGGTCTTTTGGAGGAGAGAGGGAGGGATCATGGGGTGATGAGAGAAGACCTGGGCATGGCCGGTGAGACACAGACAGCCCTGAGCACAGCAGTGGCCTTGAGGCTTATCCCAGCGCTGGATGGAGCAAGGTCAAGGTGGGGCCACGCTGGCCAGGGCAGGGGGCCGTGGGCCTCTCAGTGGAGAGTTTAGTCCGGGAAACAAGGAGGATCAAGGAGGACTCAAGAGACAAAAACTATATGAAGGGAGAGAGGAAGGAAGGAGCCAATGGCTTCCAAGTCCCCAGGGAAAGAGATTCCCTCCCCGCCCTCTGCCAAGGCAACTTGTGTATATTCATCACAGTGGGATAACTGTGCAATTTGTCTTCAAACAATAATAAATTTGAGAGTTAAAAAAGAGCACAGAAAATAATTACACTGGAAGTACCAGCATCGAGACCAGCCCAGGCAAAGCAGAACATCTGTTCACCATGCTCAAGTGGCAGCTTAAGCCTCACCCTCCTCTTGTCCACACAGATTGCTCTTCTCCCTGGCCATCTAGGGTGTGTCCTGTCAAGACCATGCCCTTGGCAGTTGTTCCAATCACAAGTCCTCAGCCTGGAGGAGCTAGATGCATGTGTGGCAGTCAGAGGTGAAGGATGTCCCCAGTAATTCGCTCCTGATAACTGTTAAATACTGAAGTGTGGGTGATGGCCTTTATTTTATAAATCAGAGTGGAATCCAGGGAATCCCTATCATAACATCACTTTCAGTCGTTTATCTTCCAATATAATTTTTGAAAGAGAGAAAAAGAGGTCATGTTACTGCTGGCATTAATTGCTTATCAGGCACCTACCTCATGCCGGTCCTGAGCTGGGTGCTGGGTGTGAAACGATGAGCAGTCGGCGTAATGTCATCCCTGCTCTCGTGGAACTTTAGTGAGAAGGAGCTGGGGTATGCGACAGAACCCAAAGCCTAGCTTGTCCATCCTCACTCCCAGTGATCAGCGATGCTGTCGCCAGCTGAGGCATGACAAATTAGCGCAGTGGTCTGCTCCACTTCTTCCCTCCCTGCCCCTACCCCACTTCTTTTTGTCTCATCCATTCATGGGAAGGCACCATGCATGTGACTCTCTTCTGTAATATGTCTCTGCCCAGCTGAAAAGTGATTGAGAATCCCAGGATTAGACCAAATCTAGCCATTTGCTCCAGTGCAATTACATAGAGCTCTGCTCCCATTCATTCAAACTGTCCTAGCAGATGGGTAAAAAAATTGCAGTAGGACGCCCAAAATGTGAGTGAATGATTCCATCAGGAAGGGCCAGGGGAGGCTTCACAGAGGAGATGGCTTTTGGACTCTTATTTTCAAGGATGGATAGATGTGTGGTATGTGCCAGAGGGAGAAAAGAGAGGTGTGTGTCTTTTTGGTCGTAGAGAGTAAGGTTCACATCTTCTCAGCTCTTCCTTCCTTGAGAAGCTAGCAAAGTCCCCAGGCACTCAGGGATGTCCCCAGGCTCGCTTCTCAGGTGGTGTTGAAATGAAGGGTCTGATTGAGCTTGGGGCTGGTAAGGGGACAAAGAGCCCTGGGGTTGTCTGAACTCTACGATCTAATGCTAGGACCTGCCCCTGAGTTCTGTGATGATGTGAGCTTTCCTGAGAAAGACACCTGGCCCTTTAAGGCAGGCAGAGTGGGCACAAGATATAGGTGAGATGCTCAGATCCAGAGTTTCCCTCCTCTGTGGCCCTGGGCATGGAGAAAGTCTCCATAAAAGTAATCTTCCCAGGCTCCCAGGGGCTTTCCGAGCTAAGTAAGTGGCAGAAGCAGCTCTTTATTGTCCTCTAATTGTATTATTTTAATATTTTATTTTCTCAGAGCCAAAGCTTTTTCATTATGCTAAAGCTTTTAGCCTCCAAGGCTGTCATGCTCTTCGCAGTCTTTGACAGCCACAAAATTAATATATTATTTCTCCTAATCTCTCCCATGACATCAGGAATCTCATCATGGCACCCACCCTCCCCTCTCTTGCAGGTTCGGCTCAACGTCCGGTGGGCCCGTGATGAACAGCCCCTATTTTTCCTCCAGTGGGAACGGCATCAATTTTTAGATCTCCTTCTCTCCCCCCTCCCCCTCCTGTAAGCCCTTGGATCAGGGCCAAGGGCTCTGGAATTCTGGGTTCCGCAGCAGTTTGGGATGAAGTTTGCAAAGCCAAGGTTCTGACCAGGCCGCAGACAGACAGAAGACAGCAAGACCAGATCCATCGACTGACCAGCACGCACACACACAGTACGGGGCACCCCTCGGACCCGTGCTCACTTGCTCATCCCACATATGCGCCTGTATTTAGCTACATGAGTGATTTTTGTTTTTGTTGTTGTTGGTAAAATAGAAGTAAGACGCTTAATTTTAGAAAGTTTGTATTTTGTGATAAACGTATGAGCTGCTTGAAATGGAGCGTGCCTGTTTTATTTTTGTTACGTTCCGTGTAATCTTTACTGCTCACTTCCCCACGAGACTCAGCGTGTACTCAGGATGTGGAAAGAGACCCTGGCTGGAGTCCTCGGAGAGCCGCTGTCTAAATATCGGTCTCCAGGGCTCGGCAGCGTGAGGCTTATCTCTTTTCTCCGGTGATCCACTCATTCCTCACGCTCCCAGTGTGTGCTTCTCAGGAGAGGACATCATAAAGAGAATGAACCCTCCTCTGTCCTATCCCAAGTGGAGGGTTTACCAAAAAAGTCTCTTTTGGACTTAAGATGGGAAAACGCGACCTGGTAAACAATTTTGAAACTATGTATTGACAATCTCTACCCAGTGATCGTGTATCAGCTAGAAGTCAATCCCCAAACTGCCTGAATGGGAGTGGCCTTTGGTTTGCATCGTTCAACTTGGATCAAAGACTTGAATAAGGTCACTGAGGGATCCTAATCAGATTTATGGAGAACACAAGTCTGGGAAGAGGAGATGGCATGATAGTCTCCTATCCCCTATACCCATGGCAGGCATCACTAATGAACTGTGGTGTTCTATTCCCCTGAGCCTGACCAAAGCTGCAGAATCATTCTCCATGAGGTGCTCTAGGCAGCCTCACTGACCAGGGTAGCCTGTGAGTGAAACCCATGTGCCACTGTCAGCTCCTACCTGCTCTCTCCCCGGTCTGTTAGTCACCTGAAAGCTGAACCTCTTCGGGGCTAAGGCCAGAGGGAGCCCTAATTCCCCCAGCAATGAGCAATGTCCAGATGTAGGGGGTCTGGACATTGTTCATGTTTCCAGATGAGCTTCAGCCCACTGCCTACAAGAGCATTTCTCTTGTCCTCACAGTGTGACACTATTGGCCTCATCGGCCTTTCTTTCTGGGTCCCTGGAAACAAATTTCTCACCCCAGTTCCCTTAGGACTTCTGCCTTGTCCCTTTCTCCGTGGTCTGAGTCTAGGATTCCCTGCAAGCTCTTTTCCCCAATGCTAGACCCTATTTCCACTATTTCTTGTTTCTCCTTGACACCTTTGGTGAATAGTCTGCCCTGAGGGGACTTCTCAGTTGTACTTGCAGGTGTTTATCCAGGATGGACAATAGTTTGCTGCCCTCCCTTAATCATAGTGTGTTGGGAGGCAGAGGAGAGAGAGAGAAAGAGTATGGGTTTGCCCTGGGCCAGATCTGGTTTCTTAGCCACTTTCCAACTTTGACCCTGGGTGGAGAACTTAACCTCTCTGAACCTCAGTTTTTTTAATGGCAAGAGCCGTAATGATTAAATGGTACTATAGACCTAACATAGACCTACTGTCTACTCAACATAGATTTGTGGTTTTAAGATGATGGAGGAAAGATGATTGTGTCCCTTTTCTCTTGAAACTTATCCTCAAATAACGAGGAGAACAAGAAAACCTACACATGCCTCCTCCTCAAGGAAAACAGGAGAAGCTGGCAATCCCATCCCACATGCTGAGGCAGGAGTGGGGTGGAGGAATGGAGAGTGCCCGGGCAGAGCAGGGGAAGCCCAGGTTGAAATGCCTGCCAAGGAAGACAGCAAGGGAAGGAAACCACTTTCGCTGCAGAGCCCCGAAGATCTTAGCAACCAGAGGTGCAGATCCTGGGCACCGTGGAAGGTGGGGCTGGTGAGAAATGAAGGCAGGGGATTGATGGAAGGGGTGTCTCCTATTCTAGCCCCACACAGCCAAAGGTCATGGAGAGTTCTCCAGAAGACAGGAGGCATTTTCTCTGGAGAAACTTTGAGACCATGCATAAAGACGATTGGAGATGAACACCCAGAGGGAAAATGGGGACTAAGTGAAATACACAGCCCCAGTGCCAGCAGCTAAGCTTTAACCAAGAGGCTCCTGGGGTTAGGAAGGTCCTCTGGAGAAACTGAATTGCCCCAAGACATTTGGAAGCGCCAATAAGAATTACCCTCATGGGTGGTGCCTGTGGCTCAGTGAGTAGAGCGCCAGCCCCATATACCGAGGGTGGAGGGTTCAAACCCGGCCCCGGCCAAACTGCAACATAAAATAGCCGGGCATTGCGGCAGGTGTAGTCCCAGCTACTTGGGAGGCTGAGGTAAGAGAATGGCCTAAGCCCAAGAGCTAGAGGTTGCTGTGAGCTGTGACGGCACAGCACTCTACTGAGGGCACCAAAACAAGACTGTCTTAAAAAACAAACAACAGCAACAAAAAAGATCAAAACTAAGGTAAAAAGAAACTAAGGAAAGAGAGACCATAATAGTCTAAGGGAAAAGATAGTACATTTAAAAATTAAGGACAATATGCCATATGTTTATTTTAAAAAGTCAGGATAAAAAAGTGTTTTTTGTCAATTAAGGCAGTGAAAGCTGATTTTAATTTTTTCCAGTGAAAGGGTTGGAAGTTAACATCAGAAAGCTTTCATGAAAAGAAGAATTAAAAAAAAGACACAGAGATGGATGGCTTATAGGAGATAAAAGACAAGAAAATGAGAAGATTAGTCCAGAAGATCCAGTATCTGGCTAGCAGGAATTTTAGGCAGCAGAGTAGAAATAAAGGGGAGGAAAATACTAATGAAAAAATATGAGCAAATTTCCCAGTTTGAATGGTCCAGAGCAGTGCTGAGCAAAATGCACAAAGGAGACCTACATCAAAGTGTATCCTTATGAAATTTCAGAATAACAGGAACAAAGACAAGACCCCAAAGTTCTCAAAAACCCTGCTCACACACAGATATTCAAGCACCAAAATGGGATCAGATTTCCAGCAGTAACCTTGGAATCTAGAAGATGCTGGGACAGAGTTGTCAGAGCTTTGAATGGAAATAATTTTCAACCTAGAATTCTAAACCCATACTCTTTTTTTTCTTTTTTTGTGAGAGAGGGTCTCACTTTGTTGTCTTTGGTAGAGTGCCTTGATGTCATAGCTCACAGCAACCTGAAACAGTTGGGCTCAAGTCATCCTCTTGCCTCAGCCTCCTGAGTCACTGGGACTACAGGCACCTGCCACAACACCTGGCTATTTTTTTTAGAGATGGGGTCTCATTCTGACTCAGGCTGGCCTTGAACTCCTGAGCTCAAACGATCTACCCACCTTGGCCTCCTAAAGTGCTAGGATTACAGGAGTGAGCCACCTCGCCAACCCTAAACCCATATTCTTACCTGTGTAAGCAGAATGAAAATGTTTTCAGATATGCAGAGCAATCAATTTTCCTTAAACAGTTTTCCTCTTTGCCCACTTTTGGGAAGCTAAGGGAGGGTGTGCTCCACTAAAACAAGTGGGGGAACCAGAAAAAGGGAATGTGGAATCCAGGAAACAAAGTATTCAGTGGGGGAGAGGGGCTAGGGAGATTCCTCAGGTAATGAAAAAGGAAGATCTTAGCTTAAGAGCCGTGAAGCAGAGCCGCCACCACCAGTCCATTTGGGAGTTGGAAATTGGCAACCTCTGGAAGAGGGGTGTATTAGTGGGGTGTCCTGGAGGACATGGAGAGAAACATTATCCTGAGGCTGGGCATGGTGGCTCACACCTGTAATTGTAGCAATGTGGGAGGCCCAGGTGAGTGGATTGCCTGAGCTCATGGTTTGAGACTGGCTTGAGCAAGAGCAAGACACCCCATCTCTAAAAAAATAGCTGACCGTTGTGGAGGGCCCCAGCAGTCCTAACTACTCAGGAGACTGAGGCAAAAGAATCACATGAGCCCAAGCGTTTGAGGTTGCTGTGAGCTATGACATCACAGTGCTCTACCAAGGGAGTCAAAATGATACTCTGTCTCAAAAAAAAAAAAAAAAGACATTATTCTGACAGTGTTGACTCTATGGAGAATTGTATTGAGAGTTCTTTTATAGTGGTTGGTGGAGGTGAGAACATTTAACTAAGTTCAAATAAAACAATGAAACAATTGTTATTAACTCAGCATTGAATGACATTTATGTGGTCATAATAATAAAAAGCTTAAATGTGGGTTTTACCCAAAGTGGTGATATAACCATAATGGTTATATGGGTGAGTATTACGTTGTCTATTGGCTTCATACTAGTATTGAGTACGTTGGATACTTACTTTTCCACCTTGTGATACTTTACAAAAAAGAATCAGATCTATGGAGAACACACGTCTGGGAAGAGGAGATGGCGTTCAAGTGGCTTAAAAGCTCAATAGTGCTAAGACTCAGACACAAGGCAGCAGTCCCTGCACCATCATCCCCCACCCTGCTTCTCGTAGGCAACGCTTTTAACTCTCTTGAGTTTTTATATTGTTTACCTCCAGATTTCTAGATAAGTGTGCATTCCACTATCTCTGGAATCATCCATGTTAGACATCATCTGCTGACTTCCTACTATGATAAATGGAGATTTGAGCTCTATTCACATTCTTTTTTCCATCTCTATTACTGTAATACAAATAAGCCTTTATTTAAAAGAGAGAGAGAGAGGGAGAGAGGAATCGTATGTAGAACAACATCTATGGGCATATGGCAGGTGTCGGAAATGCTCGTCAGCTTGTATTGAGCTGTCTCCCGACAGCCCACTGCCCAAGCTCTAATCTGATGCTCAGATGCTCAGAAATCTTTAAGAATTTTTACACACTATCTGGGTGATGGGTACATTAAAAAACCCAAACTTCATAACTCTATGTTATACGCATGCAGTGGAAGTCA